TAAGGCAGTACAGAATTTGAAAAATATGAAAATTAAAACTTAAGGCATGACTATTAGCATCAGTATCCCTGATCTTTATGTCGTATTTCAAGACTGGATCTGAGTTGAAACACATGTCCACTTGTACCTAACTTCCACTTTACACGGAGGCCAACCTGTATTTAGAAATATAAAAATAATAGAATAATGGTGAAAACCAGAAAAAATCTCGGTGAAACAGTGCATGAAGTAAAAGCCATAGTCTGTTACACCGTCAGTGAACGCCCCAGCACACTGGTCCCAGTGGTTTTGAGTGAGTAAACATGTTGTCCCAAGCCATCCCAGGTAACCTCTTCGGTCCCTATCACTGTGCCGAGAGATCGCTTGTTCCCCTGCCAATAGGCAAGGTACAGTAGGACAGCTTTAAAAATCGGGATAGCCACGAGGCATCATGAGCTATTGCATACCTAAGGCTTAGGCACCAAGAACATTAACAGCCCAAGCAGCCTCTGCAATGCAGGGCAACTGCTGAAGCAGGTCACAAACATCAGCAGAGCAGAAATGGCAGTGACAGCACCCAAGCAGAGCCCAGAAGACAGACTGAGCTGCTTCTCAGGGCTACTAGCAGCCTTTATCTTAAGGGGTAGATGGGATAGCAGTGAACCCAAAATATTTTCTAAGATAGATCATGTTTACATCTAGGCTAATTACTGGAGAAGACTCCTAAGGATAAGGAAGAGCTGAATCCAGCAGTAAATCTATTCTTCTCTCCAAGGACTAAGTTAATGCCGTTTCTTTTCCCTTGAGGTGGTGCACATCTTGTAATGAGCTTAGAATCCAGGACTGGAACCAAACATCCAAATCCCGAGCAAGTAGCCACTTCTGCAGACCAGGACAAAGAACGAAGGGACATTCCTCTCTGAGGTAAAAGGCTGCCATGATCCCAGTTCTGCAGACAGAACAGGGAAACAGTGTTTGGAAAATGGATCATTCATAAAATATAAAAGGACAGAAGTCATAGAAATAGAGTTCCTGCCTCGATGAATCTTCTGACTCAAGAGGTTTCACCGAAAACAGGTCAGAAAAAAGTTTTATATAACTGTCATTTTAAAATTCTCCTTTATATCTCTGGCATGCAAAAGTAAAAGTTCTATATATGATAAAATTTCTGGACTTTCTTCTTCCCAGTAAGAATGACACAATTTAAATCAAATGACCAGAAGGCTCTTAATGTGACCAAATATTTTTAACCTTTCAAAGAAACTACAGTAAATCTGAAAGTAACCAGAAGTGCAAATGGTATAAAGTAATGTGAAATGACACAATACTCTCTTTATTTAGACAGCACCTTGATTTGGAACACAAAAGCTGCTTCTGCAGAGAACCCCCGCTGCTGCCAGGCTTCACATGTTCTATGCCACAGTTGTTAGACTACCACAGAGCAAATCACTCCTCTCTGGCCAGTAAGTTGGTCAGTGGTTTGAAGAGAGTATTGCAGAAACTTGTGGAAGAGAAAAACTGTCTCATCAGCTCATTACAGCAGTAAAATGCAGACCCAAGTGGCTGCTGAAGTGCCAGGGCTGGTGGGAGCTCCCGACGCCACCCAGGCAGAACAGGGCAGGCAGCTCCAAAACCTTCCACAAGGGAGATTTCTCTTGGCTCATACTAGACCTGTCATATTAAGCAGCTTCCAAGAGCTTCCCTCTTTAATTCTCCGCCACCCCCGCACCTGCCAAAAGATTCTAACAAAAAGAATTAATGTCCTTAGTTCTTCAGTAAAGAAATCACTCTAGTGAGCCCTGAGTTTAACTATTATTTATCTGCAGATGTCTTTAAGACTGTATTCATCAGGAAAAAAAATTACCATGTTTTATATTGCCATGAATATATGTAAAATGTTAATGGAAAGTTGCAGTCAAAAGAAGCATTGCTGACTAAACACCTGAAAGAACTTTGGTAGTTTGAGTCTTCTGAAGAAATGAAAAAGGAAAAGCCTAAATTAATGGAGGGGAAAAAAAAAAACCTCTTTTCTAGTTGTAATCATCTCAGGTATAGCAGGTAAATATGATTTATGCCTATGGTTTTAAACAGCCCCACTAAATTTTATTTAATGGTAGATGTAAAAAAATTTAAAAAGCCATTACTCTCAGTATTATGCAAGACTGGGAAATGCACAGAGAACCAATTTAATACCATATCAGCTGCAGCCGGTCAAGTTATTCAAAAACCTCCTACATCAAACCTGTAGTTTCTAGGACCCAGCAGAAAGGGAGGTACACATGCAGGTGCTTCTGGGCTTAAAGCAAATATTATTACGGTGAAAATTCTGGGGAAAAAACAATTAGGGAAAAACAGAACCAACTAAAAAACAAACCCAGAATAAAAATCCCTAATAATAAAGACTGAACTGTCTCACATTTTTCTAACACAACTGCTCTAGTGCCTGGGTAAACTTCTCCCATAAGTACACAGCCTTTTATACCAGGACAACTCAACCCACTGTAGTTAAGAGTACTAAGCAATGTCATATAAACTAATTTTCCAGAGAAACTGCCATAAAGTCATGGTATGAAATTATTCTTAACTCTTCTAGTTCAACTGAAATTAACTCAATGGAAGATAAACATGCTGCCTCTCCTATAAGAAAATTCTTCATTGGCATACACCACAGTATGCCTGCCTGCCCCAGTGCTAAATAGGCTAACAAGTTATATTGTTCCCTTTATAGTCAAAATCATGATGTATACAAAATATTTTTATTCCAAAAAAAATTTAATCTGGCTAACTATGAAGACTATAAAATCCACCTCTTGGTTTGTAACTTGACAGTTCAGTGGCTTGTGTCATACTGGCAACTTTTAACATGCCAAGAAAAAAAATTAAATCAAATTGCATCTTTTGCCACCAAAAGAGGCAAAGCTGACCCTTGGCTTGAATGTACACAGGATCCTCAGCACGTGGATGGAGACTGCACTACACATCTTCTGCAGTGGAAATTGGCTACACTTCCTCACACTCAAAATGTCAAGCTCATATTGTTCACAACCCAGTTTTCCACAGTCTCGGCTGGTTAGCCTTTACCTTCTAAGAGAAGCATCTTTTAGTCCCGAGCACGGACTTTTGAGAGTGTCCATTTGACAAGACGACACAAGGAAACAACACATGTAAAAATCATTCTTTATTAATAATTTCAAGTGTCATCTTCTGAGTCACGATCCTCAGTTTTTTGGAGCGGCCGCCTAATACCAATTACTAAGTCTATGGAGAGAAGCTCTGTAACACAATGAAGAACTGAAATGACTAACTGGTATTTGCAATATACTGACTCTAAGCCTTCATTGTTTACAGGCAGTGGCTGATTTTTTCGGAGTAAATTAATGGCTTCAAGATAGAATTTGGTAAAGCCATCTCGTTCTGCTGTCCCGTACAAGGCCTTGGGAATACTTAGCAAAGCATCAGCAACCACCTTAGATACAATGGTTACCTCTGATTGCTGACACTGTTTTGCATAATCCTGAATATAATAATGTAACAGGATTTCAAAGTAACCTCCTACTGGCAAAACTGATCCTGCTTCTATGAGGCAGCTGGAGTAATCCTGTGCAATACCTGCACAACTCTCCTCCTGTTTAAATGGAACTATATGGAAACAAGTTTTCTCTAGACCTTTGCCAACATCCAGGCACTCACATGCAGTGACTGTATCACTGTAATGTGCCACTAACACAGGAATGCTGTGCTTCTTTTGATTGTGAACCAGCAGATCACTTTTATCAGAGTCAAAAATTTTTCCCTCTGTTTCATCACTAAGTGCTTTCAGCTGACATTCAGAAACCTGGTTAGTATTACAAGTATTTTCTATTACCAGTTGTTTCTGAGTAGCTGAAGAATGCCAAGTGCAAACATCTGAGGCTTTGCTCTGGCTTTCACCTTCCGCTTTCCAATCCTCCCTCTGATCAGCTGTTTTAAACAGCTGCTGCAGCATTATGAACGCCTCCTGCAAAGCAGCAGCATGTTGCTCATTAACGCCATCGACCGGCCCACACAGGACCAGGCAGTGGGGCTGGAAGGCACACACACTGGCAAAGCCAATGTGGACACATCTCTTGGAGACGAGCAGCAAGGACTGGCAAAACGTTACCACTGCAGTTTCAGTTATTTCTCTGTCCATGTTATCACCAACAGGTGTGTAAGGGGAGACACCAGTGATTTCACTGATTAGGGCCATTTCTTCCGACGATAAGCACTCTACCACAGACACACCATATAATTTGGCATAGTAGATAACTACTTCTTCTTGCTTCACACTCGACAGTAACAGCTTAACGTTGTTACTCTGCAAGTGTTTCATTAAGGCTTCTGTCCTCCTAGTGATCCAGCGCTGGGAAGCCTGATACTGACCTTCGGAGTCTACAACAAACTCGACACCGGGGGCCGTCAGGGCGGGCCGCAGGGGCTCGGTGACGAGCAGGGCCCGCAGCTCCCCGTCCGTCGGGCAGTAGGCAGCGAAGTCCCTGCGGAGGATGATGCCGGGCAGGAGCCTGGAGCTGGCCAGGGGCAGGCCGGGCACGGCGGCGTGCAGCTCCGCGAAGCGCCGGCCGAGCAGCCGCAGCACCCGCGGGCGCGCGGCGGCGGCCGGGCCGCAGCGGCGGCACATCTCGGCGCCGAGCCGCGCCAGGCACCGCCGCTCGCCGGGGCCCAGCCGGCCAGCCAGGTACGGCTCCAGCAGCGGCTCCAGCGACCCGGGCGGCGCCGGCCGCAGGTGCCGCCGCAGCCCCCGCGCCGCCGCTCGCTCCAGCACTTGCGTCTCGAAGTCCCGCAGCGCCCGCCGCAGCCCGGCGCCGGCGCCCGCCGCCTGCAGCCCGCCCAGCACGGCCGCCAGCAGCACCACGAAGCTCTTGGCGCCGTCCCCCGTCGCGGCGCGGTGGCTGCAGGCGCGGGCCGCCATCAGCCTGCGGGGACACGGCCGGCGTTAGGGAGCCGCCCCCGCCGGCCCCGCCCGGCCCCCCCCGCCGCGGTACCTGGCCGCGGGCGGCTCCACGCTCAGCGCCTCCAGCAGCAGCCGCCCGTCCCGCGTCGGCAGCGCCTCGCCCGTGGGCCGCAGCAGCAGCGCCCGCCCGCCCCGCGGCCCCAGCGCGCCGCGCACCGCGCCCGCCAGCGCCGCCGCCTCCTGCCACAACCGCGGCGGCTCCGGCCCGGCCACCGCCATCGCCGCCGCGCCCGCACCGCCCCTTCCGCCCGGCCGCTGAGCGTCACGGCCGCGCCCGGGCCGCGGCGGAGGGGAGGGACAGAGGGGGCGCGGGAGAGTCTGAGGGGGGGAGCGGCGGACAGAGCCCAGAGACGCGGAGGTGCGACACATCTTTATTGGAGGCGGGCCGTAACAGGTCGGATCCCTCACACAAAGCGTGATCTCGGTGTCGGACAGGGACACGCGGGACGGGGAAGCGGGCGCTGTGTCCTGAGGGCTAATTTTCCCGCTTGGCAGAGCGAAAGGCCGGGGTAGGGCATACAGGAGAAAAAGTTAAGGAGAAAAAGCCCAAATAATCTCACCCCGAAGTTATATCGTTGAAGCGATTTCTGTATTACCACAAAGTAGTGCAGCTTCACTGTAAACATTCAAAATCCTCCACTTTCGGCTCACCAGGCAGAAAGAAGTAATAGTGTAATGTTTTAAGAGCCGATTTTTTTTCCCCCGAGACTGACTAAGCAGGAACATCAGTTCTCAAACACAAGAGCCCTCACAAAAGATCTGGTATTATATATGGCACAAATTTGACAAATCTTTACATGTCTCTGAACAGCATAGAAACCCATCAAGAAGGCACTGTTTACAATACTTGAATATCTGCTAAATTTTCTGTGATTTGCGGGTAGTCCTGAAATAATAATAATTAAAACTTAGAGATGTACAGAATTTTTGTTACACATTATTTACACAAACAATGATAATAGCTAAAAAGCCTTTAAGAAACACTGAATTACAAGTTGGTTTCATAAACATGAAGGTAGGAAGAAAAAAAATTGCCGAAGGCACAGAAGGGCAGCAAACAACAAACAAAAAAGAAGAAACCACAACCATTACATTTTACAAGACAACTTTGCAAATAATTTGTGAGATTTCACAGGTGGTAAGAAGGACATGAAAATCAGACTATACACCTTCATCAAATAATATCAATTATTTAAAAGGAATCAACACATGAAATTCAAGAAGCATCATCTACTGAAAATGATACTTGTTGCATTTCACATGGCATTTTTACTTTTTCTTAGCTTAGGTTATCTGTACCCAGTTAGGCAACCTGTACCTAAATGGCAAATTAAAGGCATAGAGTACATCTGAAAACAAACAAACCAACCCAACAAAACCACATGGCAAATTCTGCAGATATTTCCTGTACAAGGAAAAAAACCCAAACAAAACAGGATTTGGAAATCAAATGTGAAAACAAGTGCTGTTATAAACTTTAAAAACTAGAAGGCCACAGCCCTCAAGCATCTGAAAACTGTACAATCAATTTTGTTACATGTGCAGAGCTCAGTCTTAAGCAGGTAGTAGTCAAGATCTGTGCATCTGGCTATAGAGGATAATGGTAACACACTAAAGAAAAGGATCCATACATGTCTGTGACCAACTATACAGTAAAAATTAGGGAAGAAGTTTCTTTGTTCTATTAAAATGAGGGAACATACAAAATCCAGCAAAATAAGAATTACTAGGTTTTCACTTTTCAGAATTTATCTAATCATAAAGTCTCACAGAAGTCTGCAATTTTACTTTTCAAGAAATTTCATCACATATCCTTTACCTTTCCAGATCATCACTAAAACCACTTTTGCAACAGAATTCAACTCTGAAAAATAAGCTGAAAAGATAAATAAGCATAAGGATTTTGTTTTGCCCTGTTCAAGTCTTTCACTCATCTTGAGCTAAGCATGAATTTCAGCGATGGAGTATCTTTTTAGTCTGACATTGCTCAACACCAAGCTGCCAGCCAGCCAGCTGGCTGGGTCAAATCCAGTCACTACCATGTGGGCCATGTAAAAATGCATGCAGGCTGTGTTATTCACTGCTCTTGAATAGAAGTGATTGAAAAAATCAACATGAAAAGGCAAAAGGACATTCCTATTTACAAGGAAGATAAAAGCTTGAAACTATCACTCAAGAGTTTCAGCACCACAAATTTAGCAGAGTATTATTTTAGGGGATTGAAGTTATTGCCCAAATCTCACTCATTGGATTATTCTCACATTCAGAGTATGTTTAAAGGCTTGCAATGGATCTTAAACAGGTGAAGTCTTGACATATGAATGCAATAATGAACAGACAAATTCCAGGCTAAGAATGTTAAAGTGAATGCCATAATACTCTGCTTTCTTAATGCCATTTCATAAATGGGTAACAACAGTTTCCATTTAGAGACTGAGGCATTTGTAATTATTTTGTTTATGAAGGAACTTTCAATGTTCACATATTTTACCCCATCAGCTGTAGATTTAATAGAAGTCCAACCAGGTCTGGTCTTGCCCATGGCTACAAGAACTGGTTAACATAACACGTTCCAGAAAAATTATTCAAGACCAAACCATGCTAATGTGAAGCTGTACGAAATATGCTGAAGCTCACTGCTTACACAATAGACTTTTACACAGCTGAGGCCCATGGAAGAGGAAAGGAAAAAGAGAAGGGGAGGTGCGTGAAAGTGTCAGCCACGGAAATATATAAGCTGGACAGATAAACGAGTAAGCAGTAAACGGTTTTTACTAGATACTAGTGAGACTGATGCAGAACCGAAAGGCAGATCACCTGGAGAGTCAGGCAGGCTGCCCAAGGCAGAGGCGTAACCTGGCCATGGCAAAAGGCCAAACATGACTTTCAACCTGTTCCACTGCCCAGGATGGATTTGATTCCTGAGAGGATCCTCTGAAAACAAATTTGGCTGTCTTTCACATTGTGCCACTCATCCTCCTATTGTCTCACCTGGGGTACTGAAAATACTTTTTCATTTCTACAGCCCCTTTTTACCTTGGTATGCTTGACTGGCACAGGGAACTCACCAGATAAATACCAGCACTACATTTTTTGCTGGAATTTTACAAAATCTATACATGCATATATTTCTTCAAATAAAAAATGTCAGAAACCCTGGTTTTGAATTTAAACTTAAGCTTTGCATGAATTTGTATGGCTACAGCATAATAAGAAGGTGCATCTATGTATTCTGGTAGGTAGTATATACTTGCAGTTCAGAGGGATTTCGAACACTTGGATTTTCCTTATTTGTTTCCTTATGTTTTGAGATATGTGGTGATAGCCATCACACAATTTCTGAGCTTTCCTTGTGTAAACACACACATTTACAAGTCTACTCGTGACAGTGTCTGAATCCTATTCTACACTGCCTTTTGGAGATTCAGCTTAAGCTACACACTAAGCACACCCCTTGACATTTTGTTTCAAAAATGAGTCCTGGAATCAGCAGTCAGTCTGCTTACCGTGACATGACATACACAAATGTAAATCCAAAGCTGTAGATTTTTCAAGAATTACAAACATACCAGAAATCCTTGACATTCGCAATTCATGAGCGAGTAGACCAAAACAGTACCTCCCTTGCTGCTGTACTGTTAAAAATGTGCTCTGTACAGTAGATGTGGGAATGTTTTAAGATGAATCTGAAGTCTTAAAACTATAAAACAGCTGTCTTACAAGCCTACAGTAATTCAGGATAAAAACCTCATACTTCCAAAACCAATCAAGGACATTATGTTGCAGATTTCCAAAAGACTTTAGCTTTTTACTTGCCATTTCCTAACACTCACAATTTTTCATATAATAATGTGTTTGTTTGACCTTAAACAAAAGTTTACTTCCAAACACTCAATGCCATTTACAAAAGCTGTTGGCTACTTCAGAAGTTTTTGTTACAAAAATGGTAAGCTTATATGTAATGAAGTATGCCTGTTTATCATTCTACCGTAATAGGAATTGCATCCTACCTACATGGTCTGACCTCGGTGTTTAACTTGATCTATTCTGTGGTGAAGATTCATCAGTGTGACACAATATAAACACAAGGCTGATGTCATATGACTGCAAGTCGGAGGCACACACCAGGAGCAAGAGTGTACTGGCACTTACACAATTCTTACTGCAACTGGGTAGACACGAGTATGATTCTGAACCATGAATGCTGAGGCAAAGTTCTCTAAGTTGTTGCTACACAGTTTTTTTACATAATATTGCATCATTTAAAGTCCAGCTTAAAATATGGTCCCCAGTTTGATCATTCCAGGTCAAGAAGGCCCTTGTTCACACTTCTTATTTGAACAAGACATTAATGATAAGCTGTAGCAGAACCATGAGTACAATGAAGACATAGTGCTTAAACTGCAAGGAATGGTAGTCCCAGGGTGATGAATTGGAAGTGACTCTATTTCGTAGTGCCATGATCTCCCTGTAAGACAGAAAACAATATCATAAATTACAGACTAGACAATCTGACATTTTCTACTATGTTAGGGCTCCTTTAGAGAAAAAGGCAGCTTTAGAGAAAAACTATGAAACATCAAATGTGCAATCTATTTGAGAAGAATAAAGGTACATACCAGCCTGTAAGGGAAAAAAAAATTCCTATGAGATTACTATTCTCTAAACCATTTTAAAGCATTTTAATTAGTACTACCTCTTAATGTCTTCCTGTGTTTTCTTTATAGACTCAACAGCACTCTGTAGTTCACCAAGGTCTGCCCCTTTTTTCCTTATTCTTGTATTATGCTTCATAAGTTGTGCTAGAAGGATACAAAAGCCAGGTGTAATTGACTGAAGTGACTGCTGCCATAAAAGGAACAAAGTACAAATGACAAACTAAACCTGTAGTAAAAACGAGGAGAAAATTTTCCAACTAGCTTCTATTGAAAACTTTATTTCAGAGTCACCTATACCACAGGACAGCAACTTAAGTGCTCGGAATATCTTTTAAACACTTACCACCATATTGTTTAGCTTCTGCAAACATTATCAGCAACAAAAATCTACCCTCTAGCCACATACTAATCCACAAATTAAAGCAATTAACCTCTTAAGAAAAC